ACCCCAGGAGGAGAATGGAAGAGAAGGGACTGCAGTGTGGTCATCTCCCCTGGGGGGCTGATTTGTCCCTTTCCCTCTCATTGTCTCTGTCTCTCTCCCTGGTGAGTGCACACACCCAAAGACAAAAACCTCTTTAAAAAAATATTGAAGAGGTTACTCAGGGGATAAGCTACAAATAACCTTTGAAAAGGAAATAATAAAACACTGAAATATCAAAATTTGAATTAATCTTTGGAAAAACTTTCTATGTTAAAAAGTCCCAGAATGGGGACGAGCAGGTGGCATGGTGGTTAAAGCGCTGGACACTCCCACATGACCTACCACAGTTCGAGTCCTGAACTGGTGGCTTGCTTTCTCACTTTCCCTCTCTCTGTGTCTCTCTCTGGTCAAATTTAAATAAATAAATAAATAAATAAATGAGTGAATAAATAAATAAATAATAAAAAAGTCCCAGAATGATTGTTTCATTGAAGACAATTGTCAGACCTCATAGAAGCTAACGCAAAAACCTAACTTTAACAGTACAATGGTATCCCTGTGGTTTTCATTCTGCTCTGTGTGTTTTATTAATATAGATTTCAATAGGTGCTGGCAGGTGGCATGGTGGTTAAGGGCACTGGACTCCCACATGGTCAACTGCAGTTCAAGTCCCAGACCTGGCGGCTAGCTTTCTCACTTCCCTCTCTCTCTCACTCTTCTCCTCTCTGTCAAATTAAAATAAATAAATAAAATTAAATGAGATAATTATTTTTAAAAACTAGCTTTCAATAACAAAGCATGGGATTCTCATTAAAGGAGAATGCTTCAATGCTAAAATCATTAAGTAAAGCAAATAAAGTCTGGCTCCAAAATACTATTTTAAGTAAACACACAAAAACTAGTGCATATAATCTCTTAAGAGGGGCAAGCTAAACTCCTATCAAAGAATATATTATTCTTGAAACCTTGATACCAGCAGTAAAAACCTGGCCTTGCTGGCTTTAGTCTGCTGTCGCAGTGGCTGGCAAACGTGATTTTGTCCACTAGGGGGAACCCAGCTTGCTATAATGTTCCCTGAAAAAACCAAAGCACAACAGAGAGACAGCTTTATGCTAGGTGGGGCCGGAGGGAGAGAGGAAGGCAGGAAAATAATACAACTCCAGAGCCAACTCTGCCTCTAGGTCACCTTAATATCTGTATGAGGGGATATGGAAATGAACCCATCTATTTCCCCTGTGCCAAACAAATTAAAAGGCAATATCTTATTTCAAGTTGTCTAAAAAATCCTCCATATTTTCATAGAAGTCATTAAGAATGCTCTGTGTCATACTGAAAGTAGTTTCTTTCCTATTTATAAGTCAGAGCTACTAGGGTTTATTCATAACAAATAATATCTGCACTTAGAATTCATTGCCTGGTAAGCACAAAACACATTCATGGAAAGTCTAAGTAATTCTTTAAAAGTTCAGTAAATCAATGTTCAGAAGAACCACAGGTAAAGCTTTTAAGGCAGCTGTGAAAAAGCTGTCAAGCAGTTCTTAAAAAATTAGGACAAATCAGCTTTCTATGTCTAAAACATTCTTTTAATTATAAAACAATAAATGTTCATTGTACAAATTTTAGAAAATGCAAATAAGCTTAGAAAATTTACTTTTGACCTCATGATCCAAAAATCATTTCTACTACCGTGTGTATATCCTTGTGTTTTTCTCTGAGCATATAACTATTTTTAATTTATAAAAGATGAATTTTAACTACCTGTTTTCACATCTCTCTATATAATATTTTTATATATAAAGATACACATTTATATACATTGGGACAATGGAAAAGTCATGACACATTTTTGCAAAGAAAAATACATCATAACTGTTCTTTTTTCTTAAGAATTATTTTATTTTATGTTATTTATTTATTTTTCTTCAATTTGAACAGAGAGAGAGAGAGGGAAAGTAAGAAAGCAAGCTGCTAAGTCTAGGACTCCAATCACAGCTGGCCATGTGGGAGTCCAGCGCCTTGACTGCTATACCACCTGCCAGCTCTACAGGACTTTCCTGATGACCCAATATAGAAACGTTTGAATGACTGCATTGTATTTCATTATATATGTATGGTACTATAATTTACTTGAAATTTAAATATATTTTAAAACATCCCCTAGTGTTGGCATTTAGGTTGTTTCCAATTCTTCACTGCAAAAAGTCCATTAGAGGTTCTTCTCCTCCTATCTGATAGTGCCACAAAAGCAGCTCTGACAATTGCTCGGAAAAAGCCTTAACTATCAATGTTATATAAACACCAACTATTCAACCTACAAAAACTCCAAATCAATTCTGATGTGAGGTCTTCCACTCTGGGAACACCTTATCGTTCTACCTTCCCATGTCCAGCTTGGCTGTCCTCCTCCACCAGGTACCCAGACTTCACTTCAAACAATCCTCTTGTGCCTTCTCCTCTCCTCTCATACAGACTTGCCCATCCTCCTAGCAAACACCCTCATTGTGTAGGTGTGGGGGAAAAGCTTCTCAAACAACCTCCAACCCCCAATTGGTATTTCAAAAACACAGGGGCCTTTATTTTGACAATTAAATTCCTGCTACTGCAGAAACTGTGTCCAAGTCCACTTCCAGGGCTGGAAGCAGCTGGGCCTGCAGCAGCATCCTGGTGGTAAGAACAATGCACATTTCTGCTCTCCCTCAGAAGGCAGCATGCACATCACAAGGGTTAATGGCCTAATTCTTTATTATCATCCCCATCCACATTCATCACAAGACCCTGCCCAGGAAGGCAAGAATGAGAGGTTATTGTTAAGACAGAATGAATGAGACAATGTGCACTTCTGTTCCTCTGACCTGACAATGTGACTGCGGCAGGGGCACTGTGACCAGGGAGGGGCACCAGCTAATCTCCATGTGTCTTGCTACAGTGGCCTCCTTATGCTACGGGAAAACCAACCTGGTTCAGGAGCCTCCCATTCCAGATTCTGCACCACTGGGAGCACCAGGTGCGGGAAGAGGGGAAGGGATGAACTCATCAAGCCACCACCAAGACATGCGTATTTTCAGTGGATCTCACGGATCCAATTCCTATGCTAGGTACCCCTAAGACTAAAGATCCACTGTTTTTCTAAGATATAAATTGTGGGGGACTAGATGACAGTGCAGCAGAACACAATGCTCTGTGAGACTGACCCTCATGGGGAGGTTCCAGGTTCATGTTCAGGGGCCTCCCTGAACATGCTGGGTATGTGTTTGTGCCTGTGATCGGGTTGGCTGAAGCTGGGGGTGGACTGCAGCTCAAAGACCCTGTTGAAGGGTGCTTTCTCTCCCTTTCACTTTCTCTGTCTCTCTTGCTCATGAAAGGAAGAAATAAATAAACTTTTAAAAAAAGATATACATTTTGATGAGCTTCTGAGACTGAGGCACCACACTGAGAACGCCATCTGCACAGGCAGCCTGGGAAGAATCTCAGTTGCTTAGATCTCTAATCAGAAATCAGAGGTTTAAGAAAACTGTGCGTCATGGCATTTGCACACCAAGACAGGAACACATCCAACCCCATCCTGAGCTGTACCGCCCTCCAAGCACTGGAGAGAAGGTACTTCTCTGGAGGTGTTTATGGAAGGCAGCAGCATTTCTGTCCGCTGGGTTGGCACGCGCTTCTTTACAGAAGCTATTCAAATGCAGACTGTGCTTTCTGGCAAAAGCGTGCCTCTTAAAGTTGATGATGAAGACTTTTCTCAAAGACCAGAGCCAAGAGCCAAAAGAAAAGGCCATAGAAGAAACCAGAATCTTTCCCTTGGGAGTTCAAAGTCTTATTCTACCCACCAGCTTCCAAAGCTTCCAAAGTAGAGTTTCAGGAAGTTGCTAGAGGTCAAGAGAAGGGCAAGGGTTTCTTTGTAGCTCTGGCCTTTTTTTTTTTTTTTTTTTCCATTCAAAACAAATGAAATAGAAACAAAACAAGAAGAATCCCAAACTCAAAATACAATTTTAGAAAAACACTCTAGATTCCCCAAAGCCAGACTCACTCAGTCGCCACTATCTGGGGGATGGGTTCGTCTAGTAGCTCCAGGCTGTGCAGGATCCAATAGCAGAGCCATGGGCGGCTGGCATCCAGACACTGGGAGAGGAGGGGAGAAAACACACCCTTGTTCAGAGTCCTTCCAAGATGATGCTGACAAGGACACCCCTCATGGGGAGGTTCCAGGTTCATGTTCAGGGGCCTCCCTGAACATGCTGGGTATGTTTGTGCCTGTGATCGGGTTGGCTGAAGCTGGGGGTGGACTGCAGCTCAAAGACCCTGTTGAAGGGTGCTTTCTCTCCCTTTCACTTTCTCTGTCTCTCTTGCTCATGAAAGGAAGAAATAAATAAACTTTTAAAAAAAGATATACATTTTGATGAGCTTCTGAGACTGAGGCACCACACTGAGAACGCCATCTGCACAGGCAGCCTGGGAAGAATCTCAGTTGCTTAGATCTCTAATCAGAAATCAGAGGTTTAAGAAAACTGTGCGTCATGGCATTTGCACACCAAGACAGGAACACATCCAACCCCATCCTGAGCTGTACCGCCCTCCAAGCACTGGAGAGAAGGTACTTCTCTGGAGGTGTTTATGGAAGGCAGCAGCATTTCTGTCCGCTGGGTTGGCACGCGCTTCTTTACAGAAGCTATTCAAATGCAGACTGTGCTTTCTGGCAAAAGCGTGCCTCTTAAAGTTGATGATGAAGACTTTTCTCAAAGACCAGAGCCAAGAGCCAAAAGAAAAGGCCATAGAAGAAACCAGAATCTTTCCCTTGGGAGTTCAAAGTCTTATTCTACCCACCAGCTTCCAAAGCTTCCAAAGTAGAGTTTCAGGAAGTTGCTAGAGGTCAAGAGAAGGGCAAGGGTTTCTTTGTAGCTCTGGCCTTTTTTTTTTTTTTTCTTTCCATTCAAAACAAATGAAATAGAAACAAAACAAGAAGAATCCCAAACTCAAAATACAATTTTAGAAAAACACTCTAGATTCCCCAAAGCCAGACTCACTCAGTCGCCACTATCTGGGGGATGGGTTCGTCTAGTAGCTCCAGGCTGTGCAGGATCCAATAGCAGAGCCATGGGCGGCTGGCATCCAGACACTGGGAGAGGAGGGGAGAAAACACACCCTTGTTCAGAGTCCTTCCAAGATGATGCTGACAAGGACACAGCTGTCTTACTCCTGCCATCCTGGCAAGGGGGCAGAGGGCAGTACCCTTGCTTCAACAATGATCCGTGAATGAAAAACGCTTTGCTTTAGCCAGGAGCTGAAATGACCTTCTGTGAGAAAAGGACAATGGGATTAAAAAAAAAAAAAAAAAAAAAGTGTACCTTGAAACCAGTGGGTCCTTCCCTGGCCAACATCTAAGACAGGCTAAACAAGGGACTTCTCACACACCAGGAAGTTAAGGGCTGCTATTTTCTCAATGTAGACCCAAGGAATCACATAATCTTAGAAAGGAATTCCTCTATTAACTCATTCTTTAAATCAACAATATTTAGTAAGCATTTACTTGTGCCAAGCACTGTAGAGATCCTGGGGAAGGATGATAAATAAAATGTGGTTCCTGTTCTAGAGATGCTTGGGGCATAGACTATGTGTAGTTATCTGTCAAGGAAAAGGCACTGGACGGACATGAAGTACAAGCCACCTCAGGTCTTTCTGGAACAAGGTGGGATATAACACACACACACACACACACACACACACACAAACACACACACACGTACATATACCTGGATAATGAGCAGAAACAGAGTCTTGAGGAAGCACACAGAAGAGACAAACTCTACCTAGGTAAGCTGGGAGAGGCTTCCAAAGGTGACATGTGAACAGATCTTGATCCTAATACATTCTATAACTAGTTACTGTGTATTCCAGGGTAGGCAGGGCAGGGAGTAGTACGGCCTCAAGTTTGCAGATTAAAAGAATATACATGAGGTCTTGAGGGGTTAACTTCTTCCAGATTACAAAATTAGTAAATGTTAGAACTGAGACAAAGACCTAGGCTTCTAGACTCTCAAACCAGGACTCTTTCCACTGGGCCAAGCGCTCCTCTTCAGAAATGTGCTGAAGTCCCCACTGCAGCTAAACCACCAGACTCAGGGGCAGACGGGGGTAGCAGCTAATGACACAGCTATGGATTTGGCCTGCCTCATGTGAATCCCAGCTTCTCTTGTTATTAGCTCAGGTGCCTCCAAGCAGATTACTTGATCTTGCCGTACCTATTTCCCTGTCTATAAAAAACAAAGACTTACCTACCTCAGAGAGTAGTTGTGAGCATTGAATGAGAGAAGACATGGTACATTTTTAGCACAATAAACTGTTTTACTCAATAAACTGTGAGCCGTTATGGTATTAAATGTATTAGCCTTGACTAGACCTTCCATGTTGAGTCAAAGATTAAAAACTGATAACCTACAGGCCAAATCTAGTCCACGGAAGTGTCTTGCTTGTTCAACTAGAATTTGTTGCAACTTTTAACTGTTAAGAGAGTCACATAAAAATCTGGATTTCTGGTTTCATTTGGGAAAAAAATAAAGATCTGGTAACCCAGGGTCTGCACTCCCAGATGGCAACAACTGGCGGGAACAGGAAAACCACGGGGGCCTCCTGCTTACCTGTCTCCACTCAGCCCACTTCCTGTACTGAAGACACCCCTTAGGTACTGCAGGCACCTGAGCTGGCAAATCCCTGCCACAAACAGATGTAGAACCTCAAAGTAAAAAGTAGACTGAAAGTAGAGCTGCTCTGTGTAATGAGGGCAGGAAGATTGAAGCCCTCTGTTCACAGACATCCTTTGCCTGCTACTCAACCCCATTCCTATCACCCATTCTCCTCCACCACCACTACAGCCCTGCACCTCTCTGGGAACCCAAAGGCTCTGTAGAATATCATTTAAGACCCACTCTAAGTTTGGGTTTACAGCGTCAAGCTACATGTAGTGCTCTCTGGGAATTATGCACAGGTCCTCTGGACAGTGAAGAAATTAGATTGGCTGACAAGGCAAAAGTTCAGGAATGACAGGGAATTTTAGCTAGCTGTCAAATGAGTGTAGAAGAAAGCATGTGAACCCCTCAGTCACAGTCTAAGGTGTAAGAAAGCCCGCTCCATCCAGAGTCTCCACCAGCACTGACAGATGACGTGCCTAGAGGGCACCTGCTTCTGCATGCCCTTTTCAAGAGTAGGAGTCCCAGCTCTGTGACAGCACCTGGTTCCTACCAGAGCCATGGTGCAATGAGTGAACTGGCAGCAAGTCAGGCCCAGTCTTTACATTTAAATAGAAAAAGAGGAGGAAGAGTTGGCTGATAATTAGAAAGAAAGCACTGCTAGGCAATGTGTTTACCTCATAGGCATCTGTCAGTTGTCGAAGGCCTCTTTTCAGATAATGGAAGTGCTTCTCTCTCTGCAAAATAAGCCTGAAAAGACAAACAGCTGATTAAAGCTACTCAAATCGCTTATGCTTCTACAACACACACATATACACGTGAACACATGAACACATATGCACACTCAGCTTCAGGGCATCCCCTTGCAGTCACAGAATAAATAACCAGCAACTTCTTAGGCTCCAAGGGCAATTAACCCAGAGAAAAGAGGCTCACAGCTGGATGTCTCTAAAGGCCTGAGAATCATGCTGGCAGATATCTGGGGTGAGACCGTCTCTTTCATGGCAGGTGACATTGAGCTAAATGATAAGTTTCAATGAGTACACCGAGCCAGGTAGTGACGAGCCACCCAGAAAGTTCTGGATCTAAGAGCATTTATCTGCAGAAGCAACTTGAACCTGGACCTCACTTCTTCCCTGACTCGGCTAGCCAGGCCATTTCAGTCATTTCCTCTGGGGCACGTCTTGAAGGTCTGCATGTGCCCCCTGCCTACCCTCGGCTATCCTTCTATTATCCTCTCCCCGAAATTCCACTTCCCATGTGCTGACCCACAGCTCTGTGTGCATACTGCAGCCAGTCACTGTCCCCGGCACGGATGTCAGCAACGCTGGCTTTTAGATGGAATGTGCCACCCACGGCCACCTGCACGGGCAGGGCTAGGACAGAGGGTGCACTGCTCGCTCGGTGTTGCAGGAGGGCCCTGTGTGATTATGGGAGGAAGAGAAAAAGAACATGAGGTCGAGACAGTCACTGTGCCTGCTGAAGTGAGACAACCACTCCCCTTTCTAGGTAGCCAGTTCAACAATTGATTATCGAACAACTGGGTCGTCAGGAAAGTCATGACATTAAGGAAGTCTATGTTTTTCTGTGCAAAAATCGTCATGCCTTTCCCGAGGACGAAATATTATAGGTGAACGTCTTCAAAAAGTTTATGGAAAATGAGTATTATGAAAAAACCATGCATAGATTTCCAAAAATTTTTTAAATTAATTAATTTATTTATTTACATTCTTTTTATACACTCAATTGCATTATTTAGCTTACAAAGTGAACATTTCAACATGTGATCCAAAATTTTTCTATCAAAATTAACTTGTACTTCATTCCCTTTTTTCCACAAACTTTTTGAAGTTTCCACATACTATATTCAGAATAAGATCCTTAATATAAGTCTTTACTTCAAAAAAATCTTCTGATGCATGACTAGAAATAAAGTGAGTACCTAAAGTGGCTACAATACAAGGAAAAAATGGGTAGGTATCATAACAGAAATATATAAAATGCTACCTAGGCCCAAAAGAGAGGGGGCATCTCATAAAAAGAAAAAAAGAACGAGGGCTAGCCCCATAGCCTAGTGGATAAGGGAGGCAGATCCCACATGGCTGACTATGGTTCAAGTCTTGGTCCCAGCTAGAAAACCACTCCAAGTATGTATGCATGTGTGCCTAAAATCCCGAAGGAGTGAAGGGGAGGGGAGGAGGGGGTAGGGGGAGGGGAGGAGAGAGAAATAAACCAATGACCGGAAACATCTATGCAGAAGAGGCAGAATTTGAAGTGGGTGCCTTGGTAGAAGGGGAAAATTCGAATTACAGTTTAACTTACTATAGAAAGCTAACGATCACTGTCCCGTGCAGCACAGGGATAAAGGGGACAAGAGCAGTGCCAAGTGGGGTAATACGGTCTAATTACAGAAGGAGAGAGGAATGGTAGAGAAAGCAGCTGAGGTTCTCTTTTACAGGAGCCTGGTGCTCGTTGAGGAATTGCTGCTTAATTTAGTAGGAAATGGGAACTCTTGAAGGTTTTTGAGCTGAGGGGGGAAAAAAAATGACCAGAACCATGCTTTAGAAAAAGCACGTGACAGCAGTGAGGAGGCAGAGGCGCTTACAGAGGGAGTGGGGAAAGCATTGCAGGGGGCAGCAGTGAGGGCGGGACTGGGGCAGCAGCTGTGAAGAGCTGCCCAGGTGGGGATACTCAGGCCCAACAAACTTGGTGACTTCCAGACACACGGATGTGAGAGGCCAGAAGTGTATGTAGGATCCAGAGCGGGTTCCAGGAGAGGGTCAGGAGAGGGATCCAGGCTCCACACACAGACGGGGAACCAGTTATCTGCACACAGGTGGCAGGTGAAGATGAAGGAGCAGAAAGAAAAGTCTGAGTACAGACAATGAGCCAGTGAAGGAAGAAATAAGAGCGTTGACGTCAGCAGAACAGAGGTGGTGTCATGTCACCAGGAACAGGGGAGGAGGGACTTCCATAATGATGAAAACGATGACAAACCAGAGTGGCCGGTGACCTTCGAGGGCATTCAAGGCAGTGGTGAGGGCTGTCAAAAGAGAAGGTCGGACTCGGTTCCTCCTTCAGGGTCAGGGCTCCTGGGGTCCGGACTCAGGGAGCACCACTCTGCATGGGCAAGGGGGCCAGTGCTGGGCTGCATGCTGCCCCTGCTCCCTGCAGTTCCAGCCCAGACGTGGACACACAAGTGGGTGGTAAGTACAGCCCTGGCCGACAGATGCTGTGATCAGGGAAGCAAGTGTGCTCTTGCAGCATGCAGGACTGTGTGAGGGTCCAAAGAGTCCTTCCGGAGGGAACAGCATCGAGGCTGAGGCTGGAAAGACATGAGCTAGCCACACAAGGGGAAAAGGACATCATGCACATTTGAGTGAGTTTAGTTCAGCTGGGACCAAAGTCAGACTGCAGAAGTACGGAGGGGTCAAGATCACACAGAGCCTGCGAGGATATTACAAAGTTTGCTTTTAAACCTCAGAGCATGCCTGGGACCAGCAGTTAGCGTAATGGCTATGTCGCTGGACTCCCACGTAGTCGACCGTGGTTCGCATCTCAGACCCGGTGGCTTAAAACTCACACTGGGCACGTATGAGTGCGTGCCCAAGATCCTGAGAGGAGAATGGGGGAGAAGGGATTGTGGCGTGACCATCCCCCCTGAGGGGTGATTTCTCGCTTTCTGTCTCTATGTCTCTCTCTGTCTTTCTGGCGAGCGCACGCACCCTATAACGAAATCCTCTCAAAAAAAATTTAAAAAAAACTCAGAGCATGCAGAAGCCACTGTGATATAACACGGAGGGCTCTGGAAGACGCTGTGCTAAGGGAAAGGAGCCAAGCATGACGTGCCCCACACTGTGTGACTGTGTTCTTACAAAATGCCTGGAACAGGAAGTAGAGTAAGTGGTGCTGGAGGAACTGGGGGGTGACGGTTGCAGGGTGCAGTGTTTCTTTTAGGGTAATAAGAAAACATTCTAGAATTAACTGTGGTGAGGGCTGCACGACTTCAATTATACTAAAAACCACTGAACTGCACACTTGAAATAAGTGAATCGTATTGTACGCGAATTACATTTCATTGAAACTGTTATTTTAAAAGTGAAGGTGGGCCTGTTACATAGCACAGGGTTAAAAGTATTGTGCATCAAAAGCTAGATCCCACATGGCCAACTACAGTGCAAGTCCCAGTCGCAGTGGCTTGAAAACATGACAGGTGGGACTGGCAGGTGGCATTAGGGTGCTGGACTCCCACACAGCTGACCATGGTTCGAGTCCAAGACCTGACGGCTTGCTTCCTATTATCCTTCTCTCGCTCTCTTTTTCTCTCTCTGGTCAAATTAAAATTAATTAATTAAATTGGGGGCCAGCAGATGGTGTAGTGGTTGGGGTGCTGGACTCCCACATGGCTGACTGTGGTTTGAGTCCTGGACCTGGCAGCTTGCTTTCTCACTTTCCTTCTCTTTCTGTGTCTCTCTCTGCTCAAATTAAAAAAAAACAAATAACAATGATAAGTAAAATTAAATAAAACAATTATTTTTAAAAATTAATTAATTGAATTGAATAATTCTTTTAAGAAATAAAGGAAGAAAACATGCCAGGTGCATGTATGTGTGTATGAGTGTGTGTGTGTGTGCCCAAAATCCTGACAGGATAGAGAAACAGAACGTATTGTGATTGACCATGTTCCATTACGTGTGGGGGGTGGGGGGTGGGCTTTCACTCTCTGGGAGCACAAGTGTCCTGTGGCAATGAAGAGGGATAAAAAGGCAAATAAACTTTTTTAAAGGGAGCCATGGTGAAGACATGTTCTAGATCACACTCACTACAACACACCAAATAGATGAGGGTGGGGATAAGACTGGAGGTAGAACCAAAACCCTCATCTAAGCGTGTCCGTGGTGTTGGGTGAGAACAAAGGTAAGAGCAGCAGCCTGAGGGGGTTCTGGGCTGAAGGCAGGTTGTTAAGACAGAGGAGAGGTGAGGGCTGAGGGAAGACTCATGAAATGTGCAAGAGCCCAGAGAAGACCCATCCAGGAAGGTCCCCAAAGAGTAGGAAGAGCAGAGGAGGTGAGTCAGCAGTAAGGAAGGCGTCTATGTGCTCAGAGAAAGAAATGGTGGGTGAGGATGTGAAGCTGGTCACACAGGGGACTTCGAAGTAGGGGAGGACAAGGACACTCATGGGGGACCCTCAGTCTTCCCAGGAACTAGGAGACAAAACCAGGGGGAGCTGTAGATTGGCCAGGGTGGTGAATGCGTTAGGGAATCTACAGCAGCTGAATAAAAGGATACTAAAGCAGTTGGCGAAGGCCCAGTGGAAGCAAAATAGTGCCAAAGTTTGGTGAAGCCAGCCAGCAGGTTCTGTTGGGTGGTTTCTTCCTTAGTAATCTTGCTGGGAGACCAGCAGGAGGTGTTATGGTTAAGGCGCTGGACACTCCCACATGGTCGACCACAGTTCAAGTTCTGGACCGGGTGGCTTGCTTTCTCACTTTCTATGTGTGTGTGTGTGTTGTGTGTGTGTCTGATCAAATTAAAATAAATGAAGAAAATTAAATAATTCTTAAAAACTAATAATAATAATCTTACTAGGACCCTTTATAGCAGTGGCAAGTGAGGCTGCTATGGGAAGGACGGGCAAGAAGGAACAGCAGGCTGAGAGATGGGAGGGCACTGAGAGGTAAGACGGAGAGGTGGGAGGGAACTGAGAGGTAAGACAGCTACTGAAATAGCTGACCATACCTGCTGGCCCAGGC